ATCCCAACCTGCATGCAGGGCTGAAAGGTGTTAATGGAGGCAAAGGAGACGCTTTCAGTTGTGCTTAAAACCAAGGCCACCACGCCATGGAGCCAAATGATTCCTAAAGGCGCTCGGGGACATAGCAGAATTGTCCCACAGAAGTTCCAAAGCTTCATCCTTCTCCTCAGAGGTTGTGAAGCACCCAAGAGCTTCACAATGTGCCACCAGGCCTCTGTCTGCCTGGGAAGAACCAGCTGTTGCGTTAGGTGTCCTTGAGCTGCCTCTGATTCATACTAACTCCATGCACAGCAGAAGGAAACTGATGGCTCATCCTGTACCCTCCTCACAATCCCCACTGCTATTTAAACCCATTGTTGCAACCACTGTGTTAATCCTTGGCGGGGAAGAGAGCATGGTGTGGAGGATGGTTAATTATTTCAGAGCGTGGTGTGGAGGATGGTTAATTATTTCCACTGGCAGTTGGGTCATTCCCCTGGGGAAATAAGAAGTGGCCTGTAAAGGAAACGTCCAGCTATGCAAACGAAAGAGAAAGGAATAAAGAACGTCAAAATACTGCTCAGTACTTTATGCTGAATGAAATATCCCTATCACAAAAGGACAAACACTGCAAAGCACCACTATTATAAATAAAGTAGGTCTGACATGAGGGTTTGGGAGGAGATAGAATAATGAACATTGCTCTGTAACAGATGAAGGGAAGAATTATTTAAAGGGAATATATATGTACGACCACAGCCCAGAGTATGAGGTACATTGCAAAGAGGACTTGGGGAGGAGGTGATTGTGCAACAACGGATGATATTTAAAAAAACCCCAAAAAGTGAAATGAGTGGGGGCAAAGGAGGGAGAGGGGGTAAAAATGTGCAACAACGAATGAATGAAAAATCTAACTTTTTCTGTAAACTTTTGTTAAAATTACAATTAAAATAAAAACTTTTCTTATAAAGACAATGGCCTGAACCAGAAATAAAACAAAACCAAACTGTTCAACAGCACAAAATCGTCTCAAGCCTCCATAGCAGCTTTCAGCCCTGCATGCAGGTTGGGATCCCTTTAGAGCGTTGAACAGCATCTGGATGTCCAGGGCTCAGAGTGGGGTAGGTAACCTTTTTTTCAAGTTACAAAGCCACTATTCCCCATTGTAATCCATCATGCCTAAATGACAAAAACTAGACCAACTTTCAGACTTGGAATTAAAATATCAAACTTCAGAACGGGCTAGAGATAGAAGGTCTAGCCTGGGGCGTCGTGGGTCACATCTTTAATTAGATGTGAATGTATTTGCTTCCCTGAAGGGTCACAAAAGGCCAAAGCAGCATGGCAACGTCGGGTTGCCATGTCCCAAGGACCCCGCCAGGCTGAGTCACTCATGAGAACTTCGCTGGTCAAAGCGCCTAGAGCAAAACAGAGTCTGGTTTGGATTCCCCTCCGGCGGTGGCCGCAGCGTGGGA